TTGGATGATTTAACAAATACCTACTAGAATAGGTTGTCGTTAACTCTACATCTCAGAGTCATAGTAATTCTATGATCCCTTAGTATGTGCATGAAACAAAGAAATGTTGCATTGCATGATCAACAACTTGTGAAACGTTGCATGATTAGTTCATAGTCCTTTTTTTATTGCTTTGTGAAACAATACTCTCTCTCTCTCTCTCTCTCTCTCTCTTCACATCATAAAGAAATTCCTTTGTTGCATTGCCTGAGATGACCTATGTATTGTGTTTCAATTAGTTTTCTCAAAATATACTCTATAATTCATAATTTGTGCATAGAGAAAACAATGTTCATTGCTGAGTGGCACATACATTGCTCTATAATTCATAAGTGACGTGGCACATACGTAGCATGCAGTCCCACATGTCATCAGTTTTGGGCATGTAATATTTTGAGTTAAATGCATCAGAGATCCATTAACTTGTGACGATGTTTCAGTTAGGTCCATCAACTTTTAAAGTAGTTTTTTGGGTCCATAAACTTTTCACCATGAGATCACTTAGGTCCATACCTCTCCACGTTGGCTTTTGTGGTGATGTGAAAAATCGTCAAAACTTTGAATCAGGCGGACCAACAACAGACGGGACGACCTCGCGGCCTCAACCATCGGACGCCATGGAGCTCGGCCACGCCGCCGACCACGCTGTGGAGGTCGGTCGCGGCCTCACGCCGCCCTACACGATCGCCGACGCCATGGAGCTCGGCTGCGGCGGCTTGGAGGTCCGGTCGCGGCCTCGACGCCGTTTCCCGCAAATGCTAAATTTCGACGCCATGGAGCTCTCTGCGCGCCGTCGACACCGTGCTCAACGGCCTGTTTACTACAAAGTTGCTAGGATGTCATCGGTGCTTCTGCTGCTGGTGGTCGCGGGCGGCGTAGGCCATGCCGCACTCGAGCTCAGCTTGAAAATGAATTGCTCGCGACGCCGCCAAATATGGGAACACACCGCAGTGTCGCACACGCTCGGTCCTCGCCATCGATATTGGTTTGTCGTGGAGCGGTTGCGACCGGACCTCCACGGCGTTGAGCGGCCGTAATGAAGCTCCATATGTTCTTCCGATGGTCGAGGCCGCAGGGTCGTCCCCGCTGTTGGTTGGTTTCGGTCTGCGCCGCCTTCACCCGTGATAACGACGACGTACACATCAAAGACGAGAAGCCAACGTGGAGAGGTATGGACCTAAGTGATACGACGTACAAAGTTTATGGAACCAAAAAACCACTTTAAAAGTTGATGAACCTAACTGAAACATCGTCACAAGTTAATGGATCTCTGGTGCATTTAACTATAATATTTTTATGGGTTAATTGGATTCATGCCATTATAATTTTCGATGTTTGGAGAAACGTTATTACTATTCACCTATTTTGAAGCATGCCATTACAATTCTTTGTTTCCCACAAAAATGCCACTGAACACGTATGGACACGACTGAGCCCGGTGTACAAGAAGGACGCGCGGTCACGAAGATGTATACTTCATCTTCACGGCGCATCATCGACCGCGTGGCCCCACGAGTCATCTTCTTCTTCCTCTCCTCATCTCTCTCTGCGGCTCTCTCTCCATGGCGGGACCTTCCAACACACGGCGAAGGCCGCCGGTGGCGGCGGTCCTCCGGCTTGCCTGGCGAGCCGACGATTCATTGCGTGACCCTGCTGGCGCCATGGGCGAGCAACCGGCGACGGTAGCGCCATAGCCGAGCAGCAGGACACGGCCGGTGTAGAGCTTCGCCTCGTGGCGGCGCGCCGAGGACGCGCGTCCATGAAGCTTGGCGGCGACCGACGGCATTTGCTCGCCGCGGCGTCGACCAGCTTTGTTGTTCGCGGGCTGTCTTCCTCTCTGTTCTCTCTCGTGCACACTCTGCACATGGCTTGCTCGCCGGCGTGGGCTCGGAGTTGAGCTAGGGGCCATGGGATACGCTGGGTAGAGATGCAAACGGAGAAGGAACTCACCATGATGTCGATGGTGGGCTTCTTGTCGTCGAATGCTGACCGAAGAGGGAGGGAGCCGAGGCGAGGCGGACGGCAACTCCGGCGAGCTCGCGGCGAAGGTGTTGTTGGCGTGGGTTGATGCGAAGGAGCGGTTTCACGGACTCGTAGTGCCTCTGCGAACTCGACGGAGGAGGAAATGAGGTCGGAGGCGGTCGGAGCGCGGAGAACAGCGAGCTCAAACTGTAGGATCTACAGGAAGATAAAGAAGGCCTAGAGGGGGTGAATAGGCCTGTAAAAAAATTCAACTCAAAACTCTGTTATAACAGAGGACGGCACTGCCGGCCTTACAGGGCGGCACTGCCGCTCTACGAAAAATAATCTAACACAGTTGAGATTTAACAGAGATGAACCTGACCCCTAGCTGCTTAATCCTGCAATATAAACTCAAGATCCAGTTCGAAGACTGGATATCACAGAAACTTCACATAAATGTGAATCGAGCAACTAAACCCTAACAACAACTAGCAATAAGATAAACAACAAGTATAGTAAAGATGAAGCACGCGAGACACAAGATTTATCTCGTGGTTCAGCTCATCACTAAGGTTTGCCTAAGTCCACGTTGTTGAGGAAGCCACAAAAGTCTTGAGCTTGCCACAAAGGCTTGCCTTACCCTCGTTCTCAAATCAAGAGAGTGAACTCTTGAAGTGAGGGGTGATTTCTTAGCTTTCGAATGAGGTTACAAACCTCTCAAGGCTGCCACATGAGTTGACAAGCACAAGGGCGACGTCTAGCCGGCTAGGAGCAAGCTCCAAGAGTAACAAACCCTAAAACTGCCGGCCAAACGTGAACCAAATGCTCTTAGACTTTAGGAATCAGTGGATCTTCTCTCCAATCGAGTTTTGCTGTCTTTTCTCTCAAGTTTTGATGGTTGGAATCAAGGATTAGCTTAAGGGATGGAGGAGCAACAATGGAGGAGAGAGGTGAGCTTTGGTTCTGTCTGTTTTCGAGCAGAATGATTCAGTGGAGAAGATGACCGTTGTGGGCTGGGCCTGAAGGGTATAAATACCCCCAAGCCCAACGATCAGTTAAGGGCGGCACTGCCGCTCTTAACAGGGCGGCACTGCCGCCCTAGCCAAAACAGGTAAGATGATATGAAATTTGGCTAGCTATTTTGACTAGTTGAGAGGATGTAGATCTGTAAATTTGAGCATCTAATTCAACAGTTGACCAACTGTCCTAAAATCCCTCTTAATAGTACGGCTTTTTCTAAACTCAAATTCAAAACATAAAAGAATTTAAACCTCCTTTGAGCTTGGTCTGGCCACCTTTTGTAATTAGGACACCTGCAACCTGTTCATCATCCTCATTCTTTGATTATCTGCTTATCATCTCGATAAGTCTCATTAGTTCTCTAATTTGGTGGTCATCAATACCAAAACCCACAGTATGGCTTAATTGCACTTACACAAACTGAGCTCGGTAATGGCGGCTGTGCCGGCGGAAATGGGTGCTGGAGAGTGGGGAAGGGCTCGGGTAGTGGTGGAGCGGTGGAGGCGTGTGCTCGCGGTGCCGAGGCCCAGCTTATATAGGGTAGAGAGGGAGCGAAGAGGAGCCGGTCGCGAGCTCGGAAGCATGCCGCCCATGGCGGCTGCGATTGGCGCGCCCGAGGTGTGCGGATGGTGCTGCGATTGCTGCGAGGGTAGAACGGGGGACGCGGAAGGAAGGGAGGGGGCCTGGTCCTCGCGGTGGGCGAGCTTGGTGCTGCTGCTGCTCGCGGGCTCCCGACGTGCTGCTGCTGCTGCTCGCCGTGGCCGTGGCCACGTCGGGATGGAGAGAGAGAGAGAGAGAGGAGGAGAGGAGGAAGAAGAAGATGACATGTGGGGCCCAGCGTGTCGATGATGCGAGTGGTGATGAAGTATCACGTCATGATACGCACTGTTGGGCCTGCATCTGTGTCCATACGTATTCAGTGGCATTTTTGTGGGAAACGAAGAATTGTAATGGCATGCTTCAAAATAGACGAATAGTAATGACGTTTCTCCAAACATCGACAATTATAATGGCATGAATCCAATTAACCCTATTTTTATTGAACATTTGACCTTCTAAATAAATATAATGTTGTCAAATGAAAAAAAAAACTGGAAAAATTTATAACTCACCATGAGAGTTGTACATAGTTTCTTCATTGAGGTGGTTTGAAAAAATTCTAAACTTTGAATTCAAAATTTGATGACCTGAAACAATTATTTGGGCCACCAAATGATCTCAACTCAATACAAAGTTGTACATCACATTAGGAGTTACAAGTTTGGCATAGACATTATCAACCTCTGAGGTCGTTTAAAAAATTCTAAATTCTAAATTTAAAATCTGGCAACTTAATATGAATGTTTAGACTCATAAACGATCTCAAATAAAAAATGTTTACTGCAAAGTTGTAGATCATATTAAAAACTACAAGTATGGTATAGGCCATGTCAACATCAGATGTCATTTGAAAATGAATTAATATCAAAATATGGTAACTTGAAATGAATATTTGGCTATCTAAACTATCTCGGATAAAAAGTTTGTCAATTATAAAGTTGCAGACCACACGGAGGTTTACATTTTTTTTTGTAAGTTTAAGTGTGTATGTTCTTTGATATTCATCCATGGGAGGTAAAAAAAAGGCAAAATTAGCTAGCGGACACTCGAAAGTCGAGGTCGTTTCTTGGCGGACATCCAAAATGGAGTTATCTGGTGAAAGATACTCTCGTTGCTAACAATTATGCTACTGAACACCGCACCTCTTGTTTTATCTATTTCCATTTGTTGAGGAGAGAGGAAGGTGGAGAAATGTTATTCTTGCCCTTGTCTTTTTCTTCTTCCCCTCTCCTTTTTTTTTTCCTTGTGTGGCGTCACGAGCAGGCAGGACATGCTAAGCCGGACCCGTGCTGCCGCGCGGGGGTCGGGCTGCTGCGCCGCCGACAACGGTGTACAAGAAGGACTCGGCGGGTCTGTCGGCTCTTCACGTCACGGCGCGAATGGGACACCACCGCGTGGTGAAGGACATGCTAAGGATCTACCCGGACGCCGCGGAGCTCCGCGACGGCAATGGCGGGACCTTCCAGCACACCGCGTGCAGGGAGAAGCGGTCCTCCGTGTTGCCTGTTGTCATCAAGAGCCGCACGCTGCGCGGTCTCCTGCTGGACGCACAGGACAGGGACGGGAACACGGCGCTCCACCTCGCGGTGGCCGCGGGCGCGCCGGCCGTCGTGGAGGCCCTGCTGCAGAAGGGCGAGGCGCGGACCGACGTCCTGAACAGCGACGGCGACACGGCGTTCGACCTCGCCGCGGCGTCGACCAGCTCCTTCACGATGGTGAGGCTGGTGGTGACGCTGGTCGCCTACGGGGCGCGGCTCCGGCCCCAGAGGCAGGACCAGCTGGCGCCGTTGAGCGGCCACGACGTCGTGCAGGGGATCGAGAGGACGTCCGACAGCCTGGCGGTGGTGGCCGTGCTCATCGCCACCTCGGCGTTCGCGGCCGGGTTCAACGTGCCCGGCGGGTACAGCGACGCCACGGGCCAGGTGCACCTCGCGGGCAAGTTGTTCTTCGACACCTTGTTCCTGGACATGTTCGCCGTGGTGACGTCCGTGGTCGCCGTGATCCTGCTCGTCTACGGGAAGACATCGCGCTCCGCCGTCAGCTCGTTTAAGAGCTTCGCGTGGGCGCTGCAGGGCATGTGGGTGTCACTCATGACCCTGATGCTGGCTTTCTACGTGGCTCTGGTGGCCGTGGTGACCACAAGTGCTGTCAGTCAGTACGGGTTCATGGCTACAGAGATGTGCATCTGTGCCTTCCAAATATGCCTAACGACGTGGATTATTAGGCCTGCAAAGACGTGGAGAACGATCTGGAGGTATATAAGACAGGGAAGTCCCGCGAAAGGAGGGAATGTGATCATCAAGCGGCAGTATCCTCTCGCTCGCGACGCCACACAGGGGAAAAAAGAAGAAGAAAGGAGAGAGGAAGAAGAAAGAGACAAGGGTAAGAATGACATTTCTCCACCTCCTTCTCTCCTCAACAAATGGAAATGATTAAAATAAGACATACAGTGTTCAGTGTATAATTGTTAACAACGAGTGACTCCATTTTGAATGTCCATCAGCAAACGACCTCTACTTTCAGTGTCGCTAACCAATTTTGCCTAAAAAAATATAGGCATCTTGCCGATAGTATGGCCTTAAGCCAGAGCCACCTAGAGGGAAAACGAACTGTAACTGTACATCACAAAGAATTTGTACGTTTGAAAATGACACGAGTCAATTTATCTTGAACAATAGTTTCACATCTGTAGATATATTACAGTAAAGTCGTTTATAGTTAAAATCTACAGTACAATGTATAGTTGACTTTGGTCAGCTTGTACGGTTGTGGCCTTGTGGGTACAACGTACAAGAGGCCGGCAATATATCAATGTAGCCGGCCCATAGTTGACAGTTCGACACTCGGGAAAAGTTCATGATACTTCTCTCAACTTTCGCAAAAATCCGCTTTTCTTCTTTGAGCTAAAAAACCGGGCAAAACATCTCCCTCAATTTTTAAAACCGTTCATCTTACCTCCCTAGCCCTGTTATAAGCAGTTTTGAAGATGGTTTTATCTTTTCCTTTTTTATTTATTCCGGCTGAATCTTTGAAAAATCATAGTAAATCATAGAAAAATCATAAAATAGAAAATCTAATTTTGTTGAATTCCACATTAGTAGATTTACACAGTGAACATATAATATGGTATGCTTTAGTACAAGGTTTTTGCTTTGGCTTTAGATCTATGCTTTTCTGTAATTAATTAGAATAATTCATACAATAATTAATTACAGAAAAGCATATATCTAAATCCAAAGCAAAAACTTTATACTAAAGCATACCATATTATATATTCACTGTATAGATCTACTCATATGGAATCCAACAAAATTGGATTTTTTATTTTATGATTTTTCTGTGATTTACTATGATTTTTTAAAGATTCAGCCAAAATAAATAAAAAGAAAAAGACAAAACCACCTTAAAAACTGCTTATAACAGGACCAGGGGTAAGATGAACGGTTTTAAAAGTTGAGGGAGATATTTTGCTCGGTTTTAGAGTTTGAAGAGGAAAAATGGATTTTCGTGAAAGTTGAGGAAGGTAATATGCACCCTGACACTATGCTCCGGAGGGCTGAAGCTATGCATGGGTGATGGCTGGCAGGCTGCACTATAGGCCCAGCACCGTGGAGCCCATGCTGGCTGGGTGGGGGTGGCTACGATTGGTGGACCAGACCGTGTGTCCCCTGGCCGGCCCAGGTTTCATGCAGTCTGCATACAGCACTGGACTGCATGCTCTCATCGCTCGGTCTGTTCGGTGTGGTAGTATAGTAGTAGGTGTCAGCGGTCAACCGTCTCGCGTATAACACCTGTACATCCACAAGCTAAGTGATACATTGCATGCACACAACTCACACCTTGGTTAGGCGGTTAGGCCCTGTTTAGTTTCAAAAAATTTTCACCCAAAGTGTCACATCGAATTTTGCGGCACATGCATGGAGTACTAAATGTAAACGATGAAAAAAAACTAATTGCACAGTTAGGTGAGAAATCACGAGACGAAACTTTCGAACCTAATTAGTCCATAATTAGACACTAATTACCAAATACAAACGAAAGTGCTACAATAACCAAAACCAAAAAATTTTCACCATCTAAACGCGGCCTTAGTCTCATGCACACTTAGGCAAGCTCTGATCACCTCCTTGACAATCACTCATCACTCACACATGATACATCTAAACCATGTGTTCGCATCTAGTAACTTACAATGCCATTTGGTACTTGCCTTGGCCACACAAGTAATGTTAACTTTGGGGGGATATCTTACCCCACTTTCATTGTGGCTAAACCAACATGAGGCAAAGACACTAAATAGCATTCACTCCACCTATCAATCCTTCTAGAATTTGTTCTTGAGAGTTGAGAGAGAGGGTGGAGTTGCCAGCTTTATTCTCATTTTGAGCACTTCGAGACATTGTCAAGTCCATGAGTTGTGTTTCTTACTCTTGGATTTTGAAGCTCATAGATGCCCACACACACACAAACACACACCACTTTTTAGCTCCTCAACTTAGACATCAGCGCTTGTTTAGTTGTCGAATTTTTTTTAGAAATGGAGACCATGCATGTTTTGGGAATAACTAATAACCGAAGTAGTACAAGTGTGTGTGTATGCGACTGCATATGAGACCATTTTTTGGGAAATGGAGACCATGCATATGAACAAACACACACCGGACCGTGTCTCCCCTGGCCGGCCGGCCCAGGTCTGCATGCAGTCTGCATACGGCACTGCGCTGTATGGTCTCATTGCTCAGTCAGTCTGTACGTGTCAGGCCCAGCTCGACGATCCACTTCAGCCGGCAGCATCCGCGTATTGACTTGTCAAAGTCAGCGAGATGTGTCATGTGTCCGATCCTTTTTGACCGCATCAAGTGTCGGATCCTCGGCTTGTCTAGTCTAATGGCTGAGTATATGACCATACTACTGCACATATATACACGTACGTATGTGGTGGTAAAAGTATATATGGATGTAGGAGTAGTCTAGAACATTTTTTTTGACAAAACACAATACACCTTTGACTGCATGCACTTACTGATGACCGCTGGTTGCTGGTCAGAACGAAGGCAGTGGTCGCCCGAGCCGTGCCGCACGCAGAAGGCAATGCATGCATGCGGTTTCCCCTGATGACCTTTCCTTCCAGATGAGCTTGTGTTCGTTCATACTACGTCATACGATATAACAACACTCAGACTCAGGACCATTGATGAACACGCATGAGTCAAAGATGGTACATTGACGCGTGTGTTTTCAGGAAAAAAAAGAAAGGAGACCATGCATGTTCATATGCAGTCGCATACACACAATTGTACTACTTCGGTTATTAATTATTCCTTTTTTCAAACTATAAGTCGCTTTATGTTTTCTTTATATAGATTTACGACATATTTAGACATACATCGTATATATCTAGATATATACCGAGAAATTGATGTAAGAAAGTCAAAATGATTTATAATTTAATTTGGATTGGAGGAAGTATTATATATACACGTAGTACCGGTTAGAACAAGTTCACAATTTCTTCAGAGTTCTCTTTTTAACCTCTCCCGCACGCACGTCAGATGGACTAAGATGAAAGATGATGGCTGGCGTCGGTAATTTCGAACGAGTTTCAGTACCACTACCCGGTGTACTCTGCTGAGTAGTGGTGACATAATATACATAGAACTCCGTAGTAACTACGGAGTAGCTAGCTGTAGGTGTACATCGATCTCTGACAAGTACATATAACGTACCTGCAGCAGAGAGATCATGCATCGTGAGTCGACGAGCGTACGTATAGAACAGCAGGCAGCAGTGCAGCACATCTCCGATCCCATGTCGCATCGCATCTCATCGGCAGGCAGTCGGCGCGCCGGCCGGCCGGCCGGCCCCCGGATGCCCGGCCGGCGCCGGACCACTCACGTACTATAGCACGCAAGGTAAAGGTATACAAAATCCTAGGCGCGCACGACGTGACGACGACGGCAACACCCGCCCGCCCGCCCGCGCCGCGCCGAGCTATGCGTCGTGGATCGATGATGACCATGTGGCAATTCGATGGCTATGCGTCGTCACTAGGCTGCTGCATGCTGGCTGATGCACGCAGCACACAGGCTAGCTACCTAGGGTCGAGTAGGCACGCTAGCTAGCTGCATGCCGTGAGCTCGCTTTCAGACAGTTGCAAGACCAGACGCCGCATGCAGTATAGCAATAGCTACGCCCATGACCCATCTACCTAGCCTTCTAGCTATCTTGGTCAGGAGGTGTGGAGGACCACCATTGCCACTTTGCCACATGCTCCATCAGAGACAGAGAGGAGAGGGAGAGGAAGAGGAAGGCGAGAGACTTAAGACTCATAAGTTATGGATGAAAGTAATATTAATTGATATATTATGAGAAAAAAATACTATTTATTAACTAAAAAGTATAGTTTATAAGTTAATAGAATTATTAGCGTGGCATACGAAGTACTCCGTATGGACCGTATCTGCGTACGTCATGACAACGCTGTTGTTGGTCAGGGGCATTTATTACAAGAGAGCGATATGATCGATGGATCCATCCACCGGCCGGCGGCAGGTTCCAGATCCCGCAACGGCGACTCAGAAGTCAGAAGCATACTTATTATATGCATGGAATGGAGACGCTCTGCTGCGCTTGCTCTCTTGCTGGGCTGGTACGACCATCGCCGTCGTCTGAAATCCTGGACGCGCGCGCGCCATGCATACTTTTCGGTTGACTGATTCGTTTCATTGCTGGTTCATAAAGAAGTACTGCTAATTGGTTTGTGTGAGAGAAAAATACTATTTCAACAAAAATTTATGATCGTTTACGATAATCACAGGCTGCTAATGTAGAGCAGTGCAACAGCGATATGATGCCCGGGCCCGGGCCCGCCCCCGCCCCCCCCCCGCCCCCAACCCCAACCCCAACGTACGCTGTCGCAGCTGATCACCTGCTGTCAACGAGAGAGGAGAGCGAACTGAGAGAGAAGAGAGCCAGAGAGTGACGGGCATGCAGATGAAGCTGCAGCTGCAGCTGCGATATCTGATGCAGAGCTCATCTGATCGAAACCTGCCTCCTGCTTCTCGTTCTCGATCGGATCTCATCACACTCACAGTAAAGCAATGTGATCGACCTGTTCTTCCCCTGAGAAATTAAATGAGAACTGATGTGAATCGATCGTTTACTTGAGACGACGAACGAAAGCGCATCGTATGGTACGGTACGGTACGATACGAGGGCGCTTAATTTCCTTCTGATCTTGCATTGCTTGTCTGTGAGCTCTGAATTGTGATCGGAGATCTGAACAACCTTTGGTTTCTGCATCTAAACTAGCTAGCTAGCTGTGGCGATCGACCATCGAAGCCATGATCTGTGTGCAACAGAGCTTCACCATCAAATGACGACTGCATTTGCATATATACTTCTTCTGTTCTTCAGAAAACGACCCCTGTGCGTCCAAGAGTTATGGCCTTATGGGCACGCAGCTTTAACTTGCTAGCTTCGTCCATATGCAGGATAGTATGATGGACATTGCACACCGACGCCCGGCCACGCATGCTTCTGCAACACTCTAGCAAGATGGAGGGCTTTTTTTTTTTTTTGGCTACTGGTAGTATAGTAGTATAGGAGTAGCACCATTGTACGTACACGCGTGCTCGGTATAAAGTTGCAGATACCTATACATAGGTATTTTTATATACTTACATATAAAGGTCCTTATTTGTTTTGTTACGGAATTTAATGAGTGCTTGGATGCAAATGCAACAAAGGTACTAGTAGCTAGCAAAGGTCAAGGGACAAGTAGCTGGTGGCTCGCAGCCATGCATGGCTTTTGCTTCTCTATCTCATGCATGCGGGCAAAGAAGCGCGCCGGCCGCTGCATTTCTATGCATGCAAGCATGCCATTGGGCAACGGCATGCACGCCCCACCTTGGCTTTGCTGGACCACTCTCTCTCATGCAATATTGAGAGAGAGAGAGAGAGAGAGAGAGAGAGAGAGGGCAGCATATGAATACTACTCCTTTCGTCCCTAGAAAAAATGCAATTAAGAAACAATGTCCTGTTTTAGTATATAAGTTTGACCAATCATATAGATAAAAAAGTGTAAATATTTATAATATCAAATAAATACTATTAGATTAAATATGAAATGTATTTTCATAATAAATAGTTTTGAAGCCATAAATATGAATACTATTTACTAGAAACTTGATTAAACGTGAAGCCTTTAACTGGCACGTAACACATAGTTATATCCTAGCTAGTATATGGGAATATATATACTGTATTAATTATTTATTTATTTAGGTTAGGTAGGTGTTTCTTTTCAGCAGAAAGGGCAGTTCTAACTGCCATAGACTTGCAGGTGACAAGCTTTACCAATGTGATGCATGCATGGTGAGTGGTAATGGCGTGCACCCAAGGGAAAAAAAAAGCAGAAGAAACCTACAGATCATAGAGAGAGAGAGAGAGAGAGAGAAGACATGCATCAGTGTGGGTGTGGCTTGCAGTGAGCTAGTAGACGAAAAGGACCACCCTGCGATATAGAGAGGGGTCCTGGACCTGGAGCTTGGTGAAGGGTGGTGGTTACATTGCACAAACATGTGTGGACTTGTGGTGCCTCAATGCATGGAAAGCAAGGATATATGGATGCATATTTTCAGCTGCTAGCTAGCCAGCTAGGCGCGGATTTTTAATTTCCTTGTGGCCTTGTGGGGATCAGGCTCCATCAGGCTGTGTGGCCTTTGTGGGCGTGTGTACTGCTCCATTTCCAGGAAGAGAATCGTTTCCAGTTATGAACAGCTTGCCCTGCAAACGCCTTGAGCTTGATGTGACCTCTCATCTGCTGCTCCGTCCTACAGAAAGAGTAGCTATGAGATCTAACCTTTTTAAGTTTGACTAGATTTGTAAAAAAATATTTGTAACATTTATATCTTAAATAAGTTTATTACGAAGAAGGTCTAAACATAAGTATATCGATAAAGAAGAAGGTCTATACTTAGCAAACATAAGAGGTGTTTACAATAGAAGACCATAGCAGCTATACAATACAATCCTAGGAGGGTGCGTAGATTGTAATTTGTATAAGACAACTCAATAGTCAGAGTATAATTTGGAAGACTTTTCAAATCTAAACCGTCTAGTAAATGAAATCAAAGTAGTAATAGCTATATAGTTATACCAAAACTTGTGGAATTAGACTAGTTAACATAATCTCCCTCGTGTTCAAAATCGATGACGTTTTAGGCTTTTCAATCTGTGTTAAAATAATCCTGCAGGTCATGTGTGGAATACTTCCTTAAACAGAGACCTACTATTTGATGGACTGGCACTTGATGTGACCATTGGAAACTTTGTTTCTATATAAGCACTTTGTGCTTTAAAAAAATCATGACAAAAGCCAGTTTCAAATGCAGAAATTTCACAGAAATCATAAATGTACTTTAGATGAATCAGTTCAATTTTCACAGAAAAAGCGCAGGATTTGAGAAAAATTCTCAATTTCAAGTAGTATAGTCTTATAGTGAATTTTATTACTTACGCCACGGCTAAGGGCTTGTTTGGTTCGCACCTAAAGTACAGGGCGTTAGTCACCTAATGAGGCCGTTTTTGCACCATTGGAAACCATCAGCTGAACATGGCGTTAGTCACCTAAACCAACTTCTAAACTTTAGTCACTTTTGTTTGGTTTGGTGGACTAAAAGAAGCATTTTAGTCCCTTTTAGTCAGGGTATTTGGCTCCAAAGTGACTAAAAGGTAAGGTTTAGTCCCATTTAGCAACATTTGAGTGACTAGTTGGCTAAAACTCATTTAGTCCCATTTATTTAGTCAAAGTGCTTGGATAAAAAGTGACTAATGGGACTAAATAAGACTAGATTTAAGAGTTGAAGAGTGAACCAAACACCCCTTACGCTAGCAATGGAGTACACAAATACAGAAATTATAGTACTATTAGTTGCATCATAGCTAGTTCCACATCCACTCGGAAGCACAGGCAGTCAGGCATGCTGGACAGTTGGTAGTATAAAGTTTTTTCCTTTCAAAAAAAATCAAACAGCCATGCTAGCATCCTGTGATGAGGAGATACCTACTACTACTAGTCATGCTCAACATATTTTTAACGGCTAGGGCTAGAGATAGTGTTGAATGGAGGTCG